ATCTTCTACCTTAATAGAAATACCTTTTCAAGTAACTGGTTATTTACCAAAATTTACTAAAAAAACCATTTATTGAAAAAAAAACATTGCCGCTTTACTCTACCGTTTCTTAAAATTAACCAAGCCCACATTTGGCAACAAAATTTGAAGCTCTAGGAGAAAAATAAAATGACAGACGATTAAAATATCGCCTCATTTTTTTTAACCGTTTAGTATGATTCAAAGATGCAATCGAGAAATTAAATGATTTAGTTATAATTAAATAAAACAGCTACTTACAACAAATCTTGCAACACAGCTGTAGTAGTATCAAAATAATCGATAATAGGAAACTCATATTATTTTTCAAAGTGTCCTAAATAACGAGCTGTAAACTTAAGCCTCATTACATTCAGCGATTTGAGTACTTAATAATTATACACTGATAAAAAATTTTTGAAGTAGTAGTGAAATAAAAAATTGTTTAATAAAAGCAATTATTCAAGTAATTTGTACATCGCTTTAACGGTTTTTGTACGTTCTTGCGTGTTAAATAATTATTTATTGTGAGAATCACTTAGTTATTGAATAACTGTAGTTTCAAAAGTTTTGATTCCATCAATATATGCAAAAAATATAAGAATAAAAGCTAATTGAATAATTGATACATTCAGAATTTTTGATGCTAACAATTAGTAAAGCATTTCATCTAAAAAAGTCATTTAATTTACGTAATTCACCTAAAAACGAATTGCTGAGAATCATATGATACAGTAGTTCAATAAAAGAAAAAAAAGAAAAAAGCATTTTAGGTAAAAATCCTAAAACAGTACTTTTAAGAAACTTTTTTTCATTCAGTAAATTTATGAATTATTTGTACAAGTTAATCTCTGCACACATTTATATATTCAAAACACCTTTATACGAGCTACGTTAAGTAGAAATCTAGTAAAACTATTGTAGATCACCACAGCCATGCTGTACAGACCTTGTTTCTAACCAGTACTTTCTAGTATGAGCAATATCTAATAGAATTAAGTTTTTTAATACAAACATTTAAAAATAGTATTTTCCTGAAAATTTATGATATTCCCATAAAAATACCTTTAAACAAAACAAAAAGGATATGTAAGTTTGATGTGTTGTTAAATTAATATTTGAATGTAAGGAATTTCTGAAGCCTTCATACGCTGGCAATGAATAGTATTCTTCGGAATGAATCTGTAACATTGAGAAGTTCTGAAATCCAAACATGAAAACGGTTGAATTTTTTTTGCGCAACATACAGTTTGTATGATACTCGTATTATAATACTGTTTAGTACTTGTACTCTAACAAAATCAAACTAGATAAAATTGATTTTTGACTGGTACTTCATGCAAACCTTACATTAAATACAATAATGCCTTGCTATTTTGAAAGTACATGAAAATATCAGGGCATTATTTTAATCCATTTAAAAAAAAGGTTTATGTATAATACTAGTCATAAGTTAATATTATTAAGTTTGATTTTATAAAATGACGAGTACTAAACAGTATTATAATACGAGTGTCATACGAAATGTATGTTGCGCAAAAAAAACTCTACCGTTTTTATGTTTGGATTTCAGAACTTTTTAAGGCTACAGATTTATTACGAAGAATACTTTTTATTGCCAGCGTATGAAGGTTTTAGACATTTCTTACATTAAAATAATTACTCAACAATTCATAAAACTTATCTAGCCTTTTGGTTTTGTTAAGAGGTATTTTTGTGGGGTGACATTAACTTTTAAACTTATAAAGAGATTCAAGAATCTAAGATAAATTCAAAGTGATTTTATCAGTTTCCTAGAGCTCCAAGAAATTATTTAGTATTATTAGTGGATTTATTTTAACTTACGTATACAGACGTGGTATCTAAGATACACAAAACTTACTCCAACTATAAAAACTTGTTTGTCCTGTACCTAGACCCTTAAAAATACTTAATGTATAAAAATAGCAAGTTAAAAATACATATAAAGTGATTGTAAAAAAATTTTTTAAATTTACGTTGATTTATATTCAAACAGGTTGGTATAGCTCAAAAACATCTTTTTAAAATTTTTTCAGCCAGGTAACCTAACCTGAAAAAGTACCTTACTGTTAATAACTTATGATCTTAGACTCAAAATTTTTCAATGTTTATGATTTTAAATGCAATAGTCTCTCTTCTTATCAGAGGTACTAATCCCTGCTTTTCTTGTACTCGAGTTTTTAAATTTTTTATTCTGCTTTTGCAAAACTTCCTGTATCCTTAAAACGGTTTTCAACTAGGCATATTTACACAGTTTTTATAGGTCTAACAGTTCGGAAAAAGTAAGATTGAATCCAAATACAGTAGTACGCATTATTTATTTGGTATATTTTTGATAAAAAATAATCTACTTGTATTGTCCACAACTAGAAACTATTTTAGATCTGGTACAAAACCCTCAAACACTTATCCTTATAAATAAAAGCATGATTATACTAGATATTTTTTACTATAGAAGCCTTAATTTTGTACATAATTTGTTTTATATATTTTTTTTTTTTTTTTTTTTTAAACACGTACTTTAATAAGAAATTTTCATGATGATAAGTTATTTAGTACTCCGCGTTTGAAGATAATTTGATTTCAACAGTGCTACTGTTTCTATTGCCTCCAAACTTGAACGTGTAGTCTCACGTGTGAATGTTGCAAATAAATTTACAAACCTCCGAACCATGTGCCGTTTCATGTATGTGCTGGTCTGAAGTATTACTAAAATCGGATTATTAATTTATTCAGTTGCGCATTTAAAACTTATTTTTATAATGCTTCTTAGCACCAATGGTCACATCAATGATTCTCTGTAACTCAGTGGCAATCTTTTTATTTCAGACATAAACAGCTGTTATAAAATGTTAACTCCTGTAGTGCTTTGCAATGAGAAATCAGATAGTACTACAAAAATTGTCTTTTTGACATCTCCTTCAGTTTTTTAATGAAAATTAATAGATGTATTAATGCTTTTCAGTCACAATTTTGATGGAAAATTTGCGTTACATTTTGAGCCACAAACCCTTAGTTTTTAGGAAACTTACAGTAAACTTATACTTCATCTTTAAAAATTATTTTTTAGTATAAAACATAAGTTGTATTATTAATGCTCACAAAATAATAAGGTGATAGTTTTTCGAATAGTTCATAAATTTTTTCAGAAAGTCTTAAATCTTTCAGCATATCTTTTTTATTTACATCAATCGCTCCATTGCCCTGTACTAAAAATAATTTTTTTCATATTTTTATTCTCAAAGATACTTGAAACAAAAGTTGAAAGGGTCTCACGCCTAAATGACTTTCGCACTCACTATTCAAATCAAGTCAAATTAATTCTTATTATTGTATACTGAAAACTAAAGAATAATTTGTCTACATCATAAATGTTTAGCACTGTTTTTAAACTTTCATGAATTGCACAGATATAAACGCTTTTTGGCACTCTTGCTCCAGCAAAAATACATGCCACTTTGGTCGTAATCCTGCAACAACTAACCAAGACTTTTCAAAAATTCTGGATGGACTTCATTGAATTGTGCATATAAATACCTTAAATCTTTTAGTAGAAAGCATTTTTGTACTTCCTTTTTCTCTCTATCTTCTAAAAAACTGATTAAATTCTTCATATTTGATGTCAGTCGGTTGTTTACGTTGTTTTTATAGAGAATTATTGATGTTTGTATCGTACAAAATTAACATTTTTTATCAAGCTAGGTAATAGGAGATGCTAAATGACCTGATTTCTTAAATACTTATGTTTTTGGCCATGTGTGTAAACATGCCAAATTTATTGGAAATATCAAGAAGGAACATAATATAGGGTGATTTTAAAAATATTTACACGAAGAGAAACAGTTGCAGCTATACTATTTGATCTTCCATTTAGTTAATCAAATAATTTTTTAAGTTTGCATTCCCAAAAAGATGCTTTTTTGGTAAAAAAACATCTAAACTTTTATCAGACGTAATACTTCATAACATGCTTTTAGTTATACTGTCTTGACCATTATTTACAGATACTGTAATCACACCATAAAATAATCCGTAACAGTTCTTAGACACTTTTAAATGTTAAATAAAATGAAAAGACTTTTATTACATAGGTTTTGATATATTTGCTTAACATTTTTCCTTCTTACCATCAAAACCAAATGAATTAGCGCATTAATCTTAACATAGCTGACTTTAAACCTTGTAATGCATTTTTTATCGGAGTATTAGCTAGCTCATAAAACACGTACTGGTGTCATCGCAGTCTGCTCTTGAGGTGGCAGTTAAAAAAAGCTGTGTCTGTAGGATCTTTTTTCTGTATTCAACTAGTTTTAAGTGTATTTATCGTAACATTATTTTGCATGATATTTTATAGTACACTTATGACGTAGTTTTTAGGAATCATAATAAAAAAGTTAAATAAAAGTGGTAAAGTGCTTATGTTTTTTATTAAATAGTGAAGGCTCATATTTGTTCGTGTGATAGCACCCCCTTAAAAATAACTGGAGTTACGATTTAAGACACTTCAAATGTAGACAAAAATTAGCGTTAAAAAAAATTGAAGTTATTTGATTGGTTGTTAAAAATTAAATACCCAATTGAATCAGTTTTATCTTTCTATCTGCTAGTTTTTGTTGAAACTTTTTGAGGTTCTAAGGATAAACATTATGTGGGACACTTTTTCTTGGTTAGCCGAATATATAAACAAGATGTTAATTGTAATGAACACAAATGGAATAAAGTATTATTAAAAATATCATAGACAAGGACTTATCTACTTATAGATTAAGGTGCATAGTGAATAACAGAACTGATACATTCTGATCCCAAGTCGTCCGCTGATTCGTACAGATGAGAATAAAGCTTTGTGTAATAATATTTAATACTTCTTTGTTCGTAATTCTTAGAATATAGAAAACATATATAAACTCGGTATCACCATTGCGTTAATATTTTAAATAAAAATAGGATTTTTATTTTAGGTAACAATGGCTGGAGACTATATACTGGCAGTTGCATCTATGATGATAGCCCGTCTTCATAACGATGACGTCACTTTGACTCTAAGTCAGGTATGTTCTTTCACTTAATACTATTTAATAAATGTAACCAAAAGGTTGTTTAGTAGAAGATTTGATGTATTAACGTTAGTTTACAAATAGTATCAAAACTGTAAATAAATGTGTGGTTAAATACGTTTAACTTATAATTGATGTAAGTTTTAATACACGCTATAATAAATCAGATAATATTTAGGACTATAAACGTATTCTTTACTATTATTTAACAATAAAAAATTATACCTCCAAATAATACTAGTAAATTATAAGCTTTTGATAGACTCTACTTTCTAAGAAATAATAGATGCAAAAATTATTTTGCACAACATTTTCGCAGTATTTGCAAAAATATTATACTAATAAGACTACTAAAAAGTTGTCAACGTTCAAAAAAGCTTGTTATCGATACACAGGCGCAAAAGATTTAGTTACTTTTTTCTGGTATAGACATTCATTTGGATGTATAAAGTCATTTATGATCCATGACCGCTATATTTTAGTATAAAAAAAAATTTCTCTAAAAATAGTTCCTCAAAAGATTTTCTTTCATTCGTTAATGACTTACAATCATCAAGTTCACTATTTAATCTTATTTTGTCTAAGTCCCAGATGTTTTCAATTCCTTTTCTGCCTCTATTTAGTAAATAAACCTAGCTTTTGTCTTGTGGATTAGCAATTTTAGCTATCAGTTTTCTACTTAACATCACTTTTTGTTTACCAATCTACTCTGGCCCACTATCTCTTTAATATTTCTTCGATCTAACTGTTAACTTTCTCTCCACGAACTCTGATAAATATCGTCTAGTTAACACTTCTACTACTTTTTTTTCTTTTTATTGACCTAGTCAACCATTTTATTCTATAATTCTTATCTAAAAAGGATGATGATAACTTTTTAAACGTACTATCCAGCACGAACTGTAAGGTTACATAAGCTAAGTCTTTAATACCGCTGACTTATCAAAGAAAAGCCTCTAGACGTCTACTCCAAGAGTAAAGGTCATACCTTTCTGAACATGACCGATGGTGGAAGCGTAGTTCGTACTGGGAACAGTTTTATCATGGTGTTGACTTTTTTTTTGTCTCGTTCCTTTAATCATCTTCACATTATTTTCCTCTTTTAATAATTAAGCCTTTCCTTCTACCTTTTCTCGTGATTTTTTCATTTGATTTTTCTTGAACGCATCTGCCATTGGTACTCCTCACGTCTTTTTATATCCTCCAATGGCTTTTTGTCCACCTTTCCATTTAAATTCTTCGAATAATTCTCTAGTCTACTTAACTCTTAAGGCTTCTTTTTCTAGTTCTTACTTTTCTTTTTCTCTACTTTAATGTTATCATATTGTTTCATCTACTTTATTTTTTAATCATCTCTTTTTTTCTTTGTCTCCTCTACTAATCTTTTTTTTCCCTCTTCTTCTTTTATTATTCCATTGCTCTTTTTGTTATCTTATATGATTTTCCCTTTCCCCTCCCAGCTCATAAGCTTTTCTACTTTGCATTTCTTTTATGTGCAATGATGATAGACCTTCTTCTATGTTTTTGGACCTTATAAACTTTCAATTAGTGTATCAAATCACTTACCTGACGATTTCTGTCTTACTCTCTTTCTTTCCTCGCTTTCTCCACTCCCTATCTGTTATCAACTTTTTTTTGCCCTCTTCTGCTATCTTATTTATTATTTTCTTGCAACAGAAATAACTATAAAATGAATAGAAATATTGATTGAAATAAAAGATATTCCAAATTTTTCCAGAGTCTGGTCAAGTTTGATATGAATGCAATTGATCACAATTGTACAGTAGATCGTCCTTGGCCTAACAGTTGGAAAATTTATAAGGAGAAGAATACAACTATGTATTAGTAAAAATCGTAAACTATCTTTTAATCGTTACCCCCCAGTTATTTGCATCAATGACTCAAAGTTTTGTTACCTAAAGTAATCACTCGGTGTAATAGGGTGTTCTAATCTTTCTCCAGGATCAACAGAATATCGCATCAGAATACAATGGAAACAAAATCTGTTTCTGACTTCAGGCTCCCCTTCATCCGTATTTTTTTATTTTCTTTCTGTTCTTATTTGAATAATTAAGTTGAGATAACTAGTTTTTTGTAGTCCTTTCAAAGCGTGTTCAAGATTAAGATTGGTACTGTTTAGGAGGTGTCTATCCTTAGAATCAGTATTGTCTCCCTTAAGTACGTAGGGTGATGTTAAGTCTTCTTCATTCGAGCCGGAGTGTCAATCTTGCCAGTGTTATAATAATAGATATTAGTGCAAGCACTAGTCATGTTTGTCTGTAGCTGGATCGATAGCATGCCACCCTCATGAATTCAAACTAGCAATCAAAGTCGAAACAATTCCAGTCCTTTTTTTCCTATTCCTTATTTTTTCTTGAAATGCGCTCCAAGCTCTTTAGTAGGCATTAGGTATGAGTTTTCGCAGAAGGTTAAACTTGCTTGGCATGACAATCGCACCCTATGTGTGGGTGCAATTTAATAACACAGAGATACACCCACACCCACGTGCGTGTGTGCGCACGCAGGCAGATACATACAAATACGTTATTCTGCTTAAGTCGTCGAGTGAAGTGTTTGGTTGTAAAATAAATAATTTTAAGTTGTAAAAACTACTTTGTTGAGATCATTATTTATTGACACCATTTTGACTTTCATGAGTTCTTCATTTATGCAACGTATATAAATTATTAAATTTTAAAACTTTCAAGTTTTTTCATAAGAATAAGAACTTTATAGTATCATTAATTATTTATATATGTCTTACATCTATTCTTAACCACTAGATGTATTTGTCTGTAATCGGCTCCTAAAATAAATAATTTAGCTCTCAATGGCAAGTGATTATTGTTTGAATCTTATTTATAAGATTTTGTCGACAATTTTTGAACCCATTTTAGAGATAATTACAGCTGCATCCCATATAACTAGATCTACTTATCAGGTAGAACCTCCTGACCATCAATAAGGTATACTTTTGTATCACTTTTAATTATTTTACCAACAATTTTAGTTTTAGCTTTACAAAACAAAAAAATCGTTAAAAATTTTTTTCTATGTCATTTTAAAAATTTTGTTTATAAAGTTGGTTCTAGTACTCAAAATTGTTTACACAATATTTCTTTGAATTTTATAATTTAATTCAGTTTAATAGAACATTATCTTCTTTTCCTGTTCTCGAATCCTTGAGAAAAAATTGTTTAAATGTTTCTTATACATTTTTTTCACAAATAATTTTATGATCAAAAATGAAGCCAAACATTTTTTCTATTGGCATAAATGCATAATGTTATCTACTTCTTAAAAAATACTATGAGTTAGAAGATCGTGTTCCACGAAACCTAAAGCAACATGAATATTTTCGTAAAATGTTTTGAGAATAGGTTCTTACGCTGTTTTAAACTATAAGGTTTTAAGTCCACTAATTTTTTAAATTAATATTTCGTTATATACATAAAGGGCCTTGCTGGATAAGGGGGGTAAAACTGCCTTAGCTCGAAAAAATCTGAAAAAATGTATGTACGTAGTGTACTATACAAAAAAATTTTCGAAAATCTTTCCACAACACAATCCACTCATGGGTTCGCTGTAGGCCCCAAATGGTGAATTTCGGTTTTTAAATGATATCTCTGCTATTTCTCAACTGATCCCAAAAATTCTTATTGGAAGTGAGAGATAAAAATAATTCATATTGACTAACATTTTTTCAAAATTTTTGGTGCCAAATTCAAACTTTAGGAAATGTTTGAAATTTTCAAAATGGCGTAATTCTGATAGTTTTATCGGTACAAACTCGAAAAAAGTCTATAAATTGTATTATGTTATATTCTATTGCTATGAATTTTTCCAGATTTTTTGAGTTGGCAACCTGGATACAAAAAATAAAAACTGTTTTTTCACCCATTTTCTCGCTATAATGGCTTCAATATGCCTTAAATTAACTATTGAAAAAATTGATATACTAGTTTTTGGCACTTTACTCAAATTAATCATACTAAGGAATACTTTATCAAGATGTATACTTACATAGAAAAGTAAAAAAAAATTTGTACGATTTATTAAGTTGAAAATAAGGTGAAAAAATAATTGCAAACAATTAAGTGTACGCTGAATTTCAGTTAGAGTAACAGGTACGTGAAAAACATTATTTAAAAAGATGTGTGTAACTAAATACTTCCATTATATAACGTTTCAGCTTATGTTTTTCATTCTCTAACTACGTTCTGTCATCTACATGCTTAGCACATATACTGTCCAAGGGCGATCAGTGCCAGGCCACAGTCCGCACTCACCTATGCGTACGGAAAAGGCTGGAGAGAGAAGGGTATAGTGCGATAGAACCCTGTTTTGACCGAAACAGATATGAATATTGACTGTTGCAGTAATAAATTTGATTTGGTCAGATCTTAATAATCAATTCGTAAAAATTTAACAATCTCATAAACTCAACATAACCTTATGAAATTAAATCTAAGGGGTTTATTTTATCTAGGATTTATCATTTGGGTTTTTTAACGATAATATAAGGGTCACCAAAAGTAGTTTATGTACGAATAATTATGTTATGTAGTTTTCTAACCTTGAAAACTTGTCAAAAATTGTTTTTATTAAAACTATTATAAAGTATGCTACATAAGGTATACGAAAACTTTTTATCAATACAATTTGATACTGCAACATATGTTAGTTATTTGACTACAATATTCTTTTAATCTAATTTTTTTCGCCTTCTACTAATCCATTTTTTTTATACAACCCATTCCATTAGTAAAATTTTTAACAAAAAGAAAATGTAGTGTCTAGTTGCACCATATATCCGTATAAATAAGAAATAAATATCTTTCTTTGTACTGAGAATGAAAGTAAAAGTATATGAAAGGTATAGTGCAGTGAATTACGGTAAAAAATAATCGTACTCCAGCGTTAAAATTTTTCTTTCTTAATAAACATGCACTTGTTAGTATATTTATTAGTAATCCTTTTGAGGATTTGCATGG